GCCAGTTCGACCATTTGGTAGAGGCTCATAAAAACAAAACTGTGTGGTCAGTCAAAAAAAAAAAGATGTGTTTGTGGTTATTTGTGGCCCATTTGATAAGAAAATGCTTTTTTCTTGGTCTGGCAGTTAAAGGGTTAATGCAATCGAATGTAAAACAAAAAAGTTATGATTGATGAAAGTAGTAAATCGGTCAGATTTGACCCGAAAACAACAGGAGGGTTAATATACACACGCTGTATATTATCAAAGATAAATATGGTTTATGAAATCAGCATAGGCTCCTTATGTGTTTATAAAGAGTAAAACCAAACTAATTTAGAACCACATACATTATTTTAATTGGCTAATAACTATATAAAATGACAATACAGGAATTTATTTCCCCAATTTATTAAAAAAGTGAAGAATTTAAAAACAGAACGTACCACAAATGTCTTTAAGAACACATCATTAAAGAGCCTCTTACACAATAAAAAAAAAAATCAAAAACCCAAATACACAGTATAGTTCTTGCATATTCATTGTTTATAGATAGACATGATGGCAGACGCCTGTATGACAAGGAGCAGGGTCTTCACTGAGCGCAGACCCCACTGTGGGATGGAGGCGGACACAAACAGAGTCATGGGATTATCAATATTCAATCATTAACGCCCGTTCTGACATCGCCTCTCGCGGGAAAGACGGCGCAAACAGAGCCACAGGGATTGTGTTCAAAGACAACGTGATCATCGGGACAAGGCACCACTCTATAAATACATTTGTCTATACATCTAGGTATTTGTATATAGAATGCATGAGGGAAAGCATCTGAGAGAGCGAGAAGTGCCTGTAGCAGTCGTCCACTGCAGTTTGATCGTAAAACATCTGCTCGAGATGATCTGTATTACAGTATCGCATTGGTGAGCTTTAACAGCAGAGCGGGTTCACACTTTAGCGTGCACCCCTAGACCACCATCTTTTTTTAATCCATTCATGCATAGACAAGTTACAGACAAGTCCTGTCTCTCTCACCGTCATGGCCAAATGCATAGTCATTGATTACAAAAAGCTTGTTTGAAAAACAGTAACAAAACCTCCCCGACCCGTTTAAGTAAATCAAGTGAAAGACACGACAACATATGTTAAAACTGTGCGGTAGGAAAAAGGTGATCATGCTATCACAAGTGAGGGTGTGTATGAAGCTAATAAGCTTATTAAACAATAAGAAGGGGGCTAGTTTATGCTTTTTCTAAAATGTTCATTCAAGCTAACATCTATGTACATTTTACAAGAAGACAAGGCGGAGATGGCAGTAACACAAATGTGTATATTCAGCATCTTGTGACGTTAAAGCGAGTAATGGCCCCTACAGTTTGCATTGTGGTTTAGCGGGGTCAAAAGGTTTGTTGTTGTGGCAACATATCAGGAAGTGGTCATGAACACAGAGCTGGTGAGAGTGTGTTTTCCTTCCTCCAAACCTTCCTTTGTGTCCTCATCTGGCTTCACTTTCTCATTGCATTGTCCTGTTCCTCTGCTGCTGGTCCCAAGTGTTCAATAACCAGGTGAGAATCATGTATTTTATGTTTTGTTGCTGACCAAAGTCATAGAAGTGTAAAATAAAAGCCACAGAGTGGTCATAAGGCTAGCACAGTCTAACATTCTTCATCTTAGTATCTACTTTAAATAATAGAGAATGTATTTTAACTGACAACCGATGCTTTATTCTTCTATATGTTTTTGGAAATTCTTTGCTTAACTTGAGCGATCACTCCTTGGCATTAAGTGACTTACTGCTGCACAATGAAGCGTGTCATGAAGAGAATTACAGCTGGTATGAGGATCTAACGTTGCTTTGTTTTACGTCTTTGGTCCTGTGTGCACGGCCCACAGTTATGCCACTACTCAGAACATATATCATCATAATAATAATTACAATCGACTGCTGAATAAAATACAGAGACAGAGCTCGGGTTCAATAGAAATATTGCCACCAGGAAAGATACTCTTTTGCTAATAACATGTGAATCTAACGTCGTGTAATACAATTTATAACCCCGTGGCAGGTCTGTGTCTTGGGTCAGGAGCTGTACATCTATCAGGGGGAAATCTGCAGAAGTTCTGTAGCACTTCAGTGTGTGTGTGTGTGTGTGTGTGTGTGTGTGTGTGTGTGTGTGTGTGTGTGTGTGTGTGTGTGTGTGTGTGTGTGTGTGTGTGTGTGTGTGTGTGTGTGTGTACATCTTCTCATGACCGTCAAGCTGGATTCTAACAAACCAAAGCAACCTCCGAACTCAGTTCTCCATCTCTCTTCATCACTCTCTACTTATACATTCTAGGTTTTCCTTCTCCGTTTTGAAACATCTCTCCATCTTTTTTATTATTTCGGCACAGTGCTGTAACACAACTCGCTGACCCAACAGACCCCAGAGGAATAAATAAAAGCGGTAAATACAAACAAGTCTCCATTATCAACAGCATGATTACCTATAGCGCCACTATTTATAAATGTTTCTATGTGACCTAATGGCAGTAAGAACCCCCCAAACAAGCACATCCTTAATTAAAAAAAACTTTGTAACACACATACACACACACACGTTCCTGCATGCAATATTTTCAATAATAAGGGCTGCCTACATGGAGCCCAATCTGTACTGAATAGAGTAAATACAATGCGCGGAAACAGTGTGGCCTTAACTTGGTTTGATTATAAAAAAAGTGCATCTCTGTGGAGCTTTGGCATAGACTAGAAATAACACTATATGTCAGCAGTAGTATTTCAATACATCTTCAAACGCTACATTGGCCCCTCAAGGCCTCCACCTGCTCATAGATAACCAGGCGGGTAATCATAGGAATATCCTTTGCTGCACATCTGCTATTGGCAATAAAGTAAATTATTTTCTAGCGTGCATGTCTCTGGTGTGCGTATGTGTGTTACAGCAGATCGCAATCACTACAGTTTGTTAGGCAGCATCTCTCATAGCACAATATTGCTTCTTTTTTTTTTTTGGCACCTCTCTGCAAAAACAACCTCAAAGTAGGATGTCCCGTTTGTCTTTTTTTTTTCTTTGTTTACCTCTCTACCAAGCATGCATGCAAACAGACACACATACACATGCACACTCCCTCCCATGTTTCATCAGTGAGCCCCTGCACTGTGCACAAAGCCCCATGATGCAGCAGGGTCCACGCATGGCCTACGAGGGTTTAGGAATTGCCAGGGAAGCCTCTGAAAGTCACTCTGCACTCCAAACCAGCACCAGTAAAAATCTAAAGAGAAGGAAAGACCAAGAATATTTCAATGTGAGATAACAACATGTACAGTTAATGAGGCTGGTGATAAACAAGGGGAATAATTAACAGGGGAATTCCTTTCCTAAGTGTTATAACCCTATGTTGGCCCTTTTACAGTTTCAGTTTGATTTAGTCATTCGATTCGCTAATCGGTCATCCTGAGTTTTTACAGCTGTCGATCATTTGATCTACTCTGCATGACTTAGGCTACACAAAAGCAACCCTATCGTATTTAGGGCTGAAAAGAGTCCCATCTTCTGTGTCTTTTGGTTAAAAAAAACCATTTAAAATGAATCTAATCAATAGTTTGACTCACAGCTGAAAGGTTTAGTAATCCAGATAATAATATAATCCAGAAATGTACGTGATATTTCAAATATTATAACCTTCTCATGGATGTTTTACATGTTGTTTGTATCTTTTGATATCTTTAGTTGCTTCGTCATATTTGAACAACTTATTTCTTAGAAACGTATGAAACATAAATCAACACATCTTTAGGAAAAATATATTTAAACGTGTACTTTTGAATAATTATTTTGGGAAGGAACTCAGTTTTACAAACATAAATCAACTGATCATAGTAGTCAACATTGTATGAGTCTTTTTTGACTAAGAACTTCTCCAGTCGAGGACAGCCCTATTTTTTTTATCTTATTTAATTGCAGATTTATTGTTAAATATGTTTTAACTTAATTGTCCTATTTGCAGAAAATAGCACATCCTGTGTCTGAAAGTATTCTCATGTCTTTGATGATCAAACATTATTCTTAATCTGACAATTGACATACATGATGTGTTGAGATAGTTAAATGGAAATAATTCTGATACTAAGCTCAGTGTTCCCACCTAGTGGCCAGCAGGTGGCGTGATGGTGTCTCACTGGAAGTTCCCCCCCCCCAGTGAGAACTTGGAAAGGGCCTCCTGCAGCCGGTGGTGCTCCTCTTCGACAGTCTGCAACACACAAAATCAATATCACCTTAGGAACTGAGAACTGAGAACAGAGTCTCTCTCTCTCACTCACACACACACACTCTCTCACTTTCTCTCTCACACTCTCTCTCAGAGAAACACACACACACACACACACACACACACACACACACACACACACACACACACACACACACACACACACACACACACACACACACACACACACACACACCCCATCAGTCCACTTTACATTCAACCCTCTTACGAACTCGCTGACACACAGAAACTCTCCACCCTCTGTTGTTATTCCTTCTCTCTGTTTTATACTCTCCTCTGAGTCTTCTTCTCTCTGGTGTCGCACAAGCCATTTCTCTAATTGTGTTTCCGATCAGAGTGTTACGGCGGGAAAACACAAAGCGGCGCGGGATAAATCTGTCGCTGCTGAGCGTCTCTAAACTAGCCCGCAGAGCTGCGTATTGCTATCTGGCTCGAGGGAAACGGCAGATAAGGTATCACGTGAAGTCTTTGAGAGGCCTATTAGTAAGCACTGCTCGATGCAGAGGTGCTGAACATCATCAATATTTCAGTCGATATGAACCTGTGGAGAACCTGCACAATAACTTTGATGTCTGTCGGTTCCATTGATCAGTTTCTCCTGCTTTTTTTTAAGGTAAATACCAAAGGGTTTTGGGGTTCTGCCTCTTTTGCATATTTGTGATACTTTGTTCGACAAACCCTGATGGCGTTCGGGTTAGAATAGAAATGTGGTTTTATTTCTCTGCTTCCAGGCTTTTCTCTCAGTCTTAGGAGTCTAAAAAGATGCAACCAAGAAAACAAACACCTTGAAGCATCTATTATTAATCCAGCATTGGTTTTCAGGGCAAAGCATACCGATGATTTAAAATGTAAGTTCTTTAAGTCCTTTTATTAAAGAATTGAAATCTGTGAGAGGCCATTTAAGTAAAACACATCCTAGTTCAAATACTTCACTCTTCTACCATCAAATATGCACAAATATTATCCTCTATAGACTCCTTTTCTCTGTGCTCCATTATAATCATCAGAGGCCTATAGGCTACTCTTTAGCACACATTATGCTCACCCGTCAGATTCTGAAATGGATAATAGTAATGGCATAATAGCCGTGTATAGCTACATGAAGAGCTATTATACTGATAGACAGGGGTGTTTGTCTCTTAAGTAACATCATACACACTGTGTCAGAGGTATCAGAGACACTGTTGACACTTTAATTACACTACTTTTACCTCTACTCCACACATTATGTCACACACACTGACATCTGCTGCTGGAGCTTTACAAACATCTCATACTTCTACAGAGAGCCTTTTGTGGTACATAAAATGCGCGTTCACACCGCAGTACTTTTCCCACTTTAGTTGTGATATAGTTCCGAAATGTCGCGTTCACACCAAAAAGAGCCGGAACTAAAATTAGTTAATCAGAACCTTTTTTACCCCCTTTTCCGTCCCTGCTAGAGAGCATAGGCTTTCGTGGGAGAAAAAGGTTCCTATGTCTGATTGGCTGGGCGGAATGCAAACCACGCCCCGTCAAAACTCCCAAAAGGTTTTGTGAAGCCGCCATTTTATTATCCTCGCATTAGCATGATTAGCATTAGCATTAGCCCAGCGCAGAAACACAGAGAGACTAACTTATTGCAACTCAAAATAAAACATGGGAGCGGTGGAGATGAGGAGGTGTGGGCGTTCTGGCGATTTACTCGGAAGGCTTCAGTAGAAGCTGCTGGGAGTCCCAGCAGCTCCTACTGAAGCCAGTCCCCAACTCCGGGGACTTCCGGCCGGGGACTTCGGGTGGCAGTATCCGGCGTGAAGTTGTTTGCGGCCTGCCAGTAAACCCAAAGAAGAAGAAGAAGAAGAAGTGACGTCAGCGGCTTTATTTGCCTAATCCACCCCCAGGGAACTTATTCCAGTGTGAACGCGATCTGTACTTAGTTCATCAGAGCTAAAGAGTTCTCATGAACCTTTGAAGGGAAAAGTACTGCGGTGTGAAAGCGCCTGAAGTCAGTTGTATTTATGTACCTGCAGCCAAAACATACTGAGATGTGGGTACGTTTCTCTATATTGAATAAAGCTCCACTACGCAGAAGCTACTCTCCGGAGAAATGTCAATAAGTTAAAGCAACATGGTGAAAGGGTGTTTTTATTGAACATTGAACTTCTTGACATTAATAAATCTGTACAATATAAAATATATGCTAATATAATTCAAATCCTGTGTTCAATGTGATTTACCTTGCTGGGTGCAGAAGCAACAGGTGGTTCATTTCTCTTCTCTCAGCAAAAACACCATGAATATTTGAGAAGGCACAAAGTGTTTGATGTGTGTCGGTGTTCTCGTTGTTCCAGGTAAATGCCAGTCATTTCAGTAAAACTAAAAAAACAGTGAAGCTACTGAAAAGCAAAAGGACCAATATACCACCACATTAAAAAGATATTAAAGTTAACCTAGTAACGTCTGTACTTATAGAAACGACACAACACTGAACATATGACATCTTCTATTGTTTTTGTAGTTATATTATTGTATGTTTAATGAGTGAGTAAGGATTTGAATCCCCTACGTTCAAAATCATTTTTAATTATCCTCAAATTAAATTAAATGAAAGACAAACCACACCAAAAACTGTTAACGAAGAACGGTTGCTATCACATATAAAACGTCATCCCTACTCACGCAATCGTGTACTCAAACACACACACACACACACACACACACACACACACACACACACACACACACACACACACACACACACACACACACACACACACACACACACACACACACACACACACACAGTAAAGCTGCTTGTTTTATATATTTGAGTTTATGTTAGTATCTCAGACTGAAATCCAGCAGGAGCTTAATTCTCAGCTTTTCTGTTTTAAAGCCTCGGGACGCATGCATACATTTGAGTCCCGCTGCCTCAGAGCAGATCTGTGCGCCATTTGCTTCCCTCTCATTGTCCTTAATGTCTCTAAAATAGTCTCTGCTTCAGGCCCAGAAAGCATAATGGTGTGTGTGTTAAGTGATTATGATTTATGGCCCAGATGATAATGTGTGATTGTGCATAATAAAAAGTGTGTGAGGTTGCAGTGTGATTTATGCTCCTCTCATAGACAATTAACCACATTTAATAGAAGATATTAAGACACGCTGGACATTATCAGACCCTTTTTCCTCTTCAGTGGTCCGATATGATTCTTGACCTTCGCCACCGCTAAGCGTCTATAGCCAGGTTTCCATGGTGACGGCAGGACGCACTTGTTAATGATCATCTTCCTTTTACTGCTCGACTACTTCCTAATGATCCATTAACGGTGTGATTGGCTCAGGGCCAAGGTATGCAAAGAGGAGAGCGCATGTGGAAAGTCAAGTGTTTGCTGTGCCACTGACTCATGCTCCTATTCCCCTCATACTCCTATTGCCATGTATCTGAGCTAGCATGTGACACACACACACACACACACACACACACACACACACACACACACACACACACACACACACACACACACACACACAGACCCATGCACTGCCACAATGTTGATACACACATATGCAAACACACACGCTTGAGCTTGATTATTAGTTATAGTCCTACGATTCATGATTGAAATAAGTTTGGCAAGAACTAGCTGATTAGTGTGTGTTGTGTGTGTGTGTGTGTGGTGTGTGTGTGTGTGTTGTGTGTTGTGT